AAGCCACCTCCGTACGGCAAACCCGAAGACTGGAAGCTGGACGATGGTGTTGCCAAGTATCAGGGCAAGATCTACATCCCTCCGAATGAAGACCTGCGACGCGACATTGTCCGGATACATCACGACCCGGCAGTAATGGGCCACCCCGGACAGGACCAGAACATCGAACTCGTCTCACGCCAGTACAGTTGGGGCGGAATGGAAAACTTCATCCGCAAATTCGTTCAAGGATGCGCCATCTGCCAAGGATCCAAGGTTAACACCCACCCCGTGAAAGCTCCCGCCATGCCTATTCCCCACGCAGGAAACACGCGACCGTTTTCGGTCATCACCATGGATCACATCACGGGCCTTCCAATGTCCAACGGATTCAACGCCATTCAAGTGGTAGTAGATCACGACACCACCAAGGGCGCAGTCATCACCCCTTGCACTATCAACGTCACCGCCTTGGAAGCAGCCGAACTACTTTTCCGAGATGTCTACAAACGGTTTGGAGCCCCTCAGAGGATCATATCTGACCGAGGACCCCAGTTCGCGTCCGGGGTTTTTCAAGAACTGCAACGACTCGTAGGAGTCAAGACTTCCCGATCCACGGCGTATCACCCTCAGACAGACGGACAGACAGAAAGAGTCAACCAGGAGATCAACTTAGCTCTGTGCATCTACTGCCTCAATGACCCGGACAGCTGGTCAGACAAACTCCCTGCCTTCGAGTTCTGCCACAACCAACGCAAGCACTCCGTTACGGGCAAGTCTCCGTTCGAACTCATCATGGGCTACAACCCTGACGTATTCCCCAACTCCCTCTCTCCGTCCACACACCCGAGTGCGGAAGAACGGATCCAGCAACTCCTTGAAGACAGAGCCAATGCGGAAGCCGCGCACAACCGAGCAGCGGAGATCATGGCCCGAAGGGCTGGAACCAAGCCGGTCACGTTCAAGAAAGGCGACAGGGTCCTCCTCGAATCGACCAATCTCCGACTCCCCTACCCCCACCGGAAGTTAGCCCCGAAAAGGGAAGGACCCTTCGAGATCGACGAGATCGCTGGTCCAGTCACGGTTCGACTGAAACTCCCTAAGGCCTGGAAGATCCATGACGTCTTCCATGTGAATCTACTCAAACCTTATCGAGTCACCAAGGAACACGGTCCAGACTACCCCAGACCACCTCCGGAGACCATAGAGGGCGAAGAAGAGTGGGAAGTCGAGGCCATCTTAGCCCATCGGAAACGTGGGAAAGGCTATCAATACTTCGTCTCTTGGAAGGGCTGGCCTAGCAGCGAAAACTCGTGGGTTTCTGGGAAGGAGATGACTAATGCGCTGAAGCTCCTCGCCAAGTACAAGAAGCAACAGCGACTCTAGGGAACGACCCCAGCCCGCTCCTCTCTTCCCCCAATCCACACTATGCCGCAACTCGCCTCCACCTATCGCGCTGCCCCCGAAGACGTCCCCACCCCCCAGTGGTTCCTCGACCACGACTTTCACCTCTCCTTCCTCCACCTGCCCGGCAACGAAGTCGCCGGGTACAGCGAGCCATCCGCATGCCAATACGTGGGGTGGCTCCTTCTGCAACCCAACCCGGAGTTGCGCAACGTCTTGGAATGGCGATTCCGGGACGTCCCGCCCGCCAGTCATGCCTGGGCCATCTACGGCGAGTCGGTCGTCACCCTCACCCACCTCCGGACCCTCGACTGGGACGTTGGCGAGCTCACCGACCCAACTGGCCAACGACGGGCCTACGACACCGTCTCCTAGCTGCGGGCCACAACAATCGCCATGTCTGACCACGCTTTAGATATCATTTGCGCCCCCCATCATCTCTTTTTCATCGCTGACCTCGTCAACCACATAGAGCAGGTCGACCGCGAACGCGAGCGGACCTGGCTGGAGCGCGTCCTCGCCACCAACGACAGCCACGCCGCCTCCCCTATTCCCCCCACCCCGCCTCTGCCCGCCCCAGAATGGGGAAACCCGGCTGACGTCTCCGGATGGGGCGACACCAACGTCGGCTGGAGCAACACTAACTGGGGGAACGTCCCCATGGACGAGGCCGACGTGGAGTGGTCCTCCCCTGTACAACCTTTGCGCCGCTCCCCTCCACCCCGCGACTCCCCCTCCCCAACACTGCAGCACCTCCGCCCGATGCCCGATCGCCTACGCTCCGGTGCGCCCCCTCCGACCCGTACGCGCCCCTCTCCCCACTCTTCCAGCCCCACCCCCCGCTCCCCGAGCCCCGTCGACGAGAACGGACCCCCGTTCACCATGGTCGTCGACCCCGCGTCGCCCCTGGAGTGGCCGACCTCAACCGTCCGAACGGTCCTCGGCACCATCAGCGGAGGCGACCTCACCGACGCCACCGACCCCGACGCCCTGTCCGCGCCCCCTACCCCTCCAACCCCCCCGCTCCGCCAACCCAGACCCCGCACCCCCCCGTACCCCGCCCCCGCCCCAGGCCCAACCACAGTCCACTGGCGGACGCCCCTTCTGGGCCACCCAGCATACGGGGGGGCCCTCCTCTACGACGAGCGACTCCCGGACGGCTGGCAAATCGGGCCGGAAGAGCCCCGCCGCGTCGGTGGACACCCTTGGGAGTGGCGCATCTCGGGCCACCTCAATGGGACTGCTCTTCTCGAGGTCCAACTCCGGAGCTACGCCTGGGACGAGCGGTGGGAGCACATCCCTGGCATCGACAACGCCTACCTTATTGGCGTCTTAGCCGACAACCTCCACCCCAGCGGACAATTCACGGAGAATCAGTACCTTGGATTCCTTTGGGCGATGATCCAGGCGCGCGACCCCTCCGCCCTCGTCACCGACTACAACATATGGTGAGAAGCGGCCGACAACCTCGTCGACGCGTACGACGTCCGCAACATCCCCGTCTCTATCCGTCAGTACCGGAACGGACGCGCCGTACGCCTATACGACAACATGTCCGCGAACGACGTCCACCGCAGCGTGTGGGGGAACTTCTATGACAACGAGGTCCTCGATGTCTCCGACCACGGCGACTCCCCTCCACCCACCCCTGCCACGCCCGCCACACCCATCGAGGAGGTCCTCCGTTCACGTAGCCCTTCCCCTGCTACCCCTCCCGCCATCGTCCACGACGACCCCGCTGACGCCGTCCCCGCACCATTCCGCCCCAGCCGCCCCCGCCCCTGTTAACCCCTCGCCCCCCGCCACCTTCTCACCTCTGGCACCGTCGCCGTCCCGCTCAATCACCTTCCTCTCTGGAGGTTACTTCAATCCCACCGACCCTGGCCTCAACATCGGCCTCTGGTACCCACCAGCGCCCTTGTCACCACTCACGGAGCCGGACTTGGAGTTGAACGATCGGGACGATCGTGCTTAGAAACGGGGGTAATGTTACCGTTGGTACGCCCACCCCCTATCTTTTCGTTATTGGACTACTCCTTCTCGTTGCCCTCGTGTACACTCCACCCCCCTTCCTGTTCCCGGCGACCTATGCTTACCTTCCCGTTCCCCCGTCGTCCGCCTGTACACTATCATCCCCCGTTCCACCCCCTGACAACTATGTTCCTAGCCCCGGCCCTCTCCCTTAATATTTCCCCTTTCGTCTATATGACCGGACCCTGAGTCCGACCCTGACCTTTTCCCTTTTCGGTTACATTACTTTACCCTGACTCAGACCCCGACCTTTGTCGTGCCCCTTTCCCTTTTCGGTTACATTACCCGACCCTGACCTAGACTCGGGACCCTGCCCCGCCTCTATCCCCTTTCGGTTATATCGCGGGACCCTGACCTAGGTCGTGTACTATACTGGGCCCAGCCTCGACCAGACGCGTTCCTTTACAGTCTCCTCATACCTCCCCACTTTGGTCAGTTCCCTCCCCCTTCCTAATATGGTCGGTACCCCATAGTATATAAGGAGGCCTGTAGTCAGTAGAGGCTCCCCACTTCTGTTCTCCTCTTTGTTACCTCCTGTATCCCTATATCCCTCAATCTAGGGACTTGCGCGATACTCTCTCCCCTGTGTGCTACACCGCGTACTTGGATAAGTCCGCGTGATAAGTCTGGATAGACTTGTGTTAGTACTTCAGCGTAACAATATACGTGCGATAGAGAGTCCGTCTGAGACTCTCAATGAACTGACGAGGATGTACAACAAACCTCAGTTACCAGAATTCGACTGGGGACTCTGAAGCTTGAGGGAATCACACTGGTGAGAGTAGAGGGGAAAGGAGTGATTGTTTTTCAGGTGTGCTGGCCTCTGGCCTTATATACTATCCTAACAATGGGACCAAATACTTACAAACGATCCTAGCTACTATTGTGCTAAAGACGGACAATAGTCCATGAACAATAAACATCAGACACCACTTGCCCGTTGTTCCGACTGCTCATTGTTCTGACCCAATTGTTCCCTCTCTATGAGGGTTCCCAGGCTTTCCACAATAACGCAACTTACCCTTCTGTGAGAAAAATCCCCATTGCCATTGTCGCACAATTGGAATCTTCTCTCATTGTTGCATAGCTGAGGTCACATGGCCGTTGGTGTCATCTGACTAAGGATTGGTCACATGTCCGCCGCTAAGTTGTTTGTGGTGCAAAAGATACACAAGTACTTTGAAGAGCGAGTCGCAAGAGTACATGGGTGTCTAGACCATTTCAGCCACCTCAACTGCCTTGCCTGAGCTACCATAACCAAAGGTCGACTGACTTCCCTGAGTGGCAAGGGTGATGTCTACCTCCCCATGGTCCTCCGCCTGCAAGCCTTCTGTCTGCTCACTGATGCGCTGCGAGCTGACAATGAGATTGTCGGTACCGAGGCAGTTACGAACAGAGATCTTCCTCGCTCGGTACTTAAGCCTGACAGTAAATCAGGTCAGTCATACCTGGTGTATGACAGTGGGGACCAGGGCAGGCAGTGTATATACTCAGGGAAAGCGAATCACGCTCGACGCCCCTGGGGGAGATTCCACGCCACCGCTCTCTCAGCGATACTGGATGATCATTGTACGCTCTCCTCGGAAGCCTATCTCGGCCAGTTCTGCCTAACTTTCCTTCTTACAGGTGATACCCGAGCAGCCGGTGGCAGACGTGGATAACTTGAGAGAGTTACTGTGCGATGGCGCTGCACGTCTCCCCTACCCCGTTTCATACATGCAAGAAGTCGATTGTGGTAAGTCGTCAGTGTACAAGCTACTCACGGTGTGTTTATACTGACTCCATACATACAACAGGCTCTAATACGACGTACGTACCTGTGGTTTCGTCATCATGAATGTCTGGACTTGTTGATTGCTCACTTGCAAGCAGATGGTTCCTAGGCTATAACTATGGCGAGGTCTACGGACCTCTCCCTGATGGCACATGGGCTGTCTGGAGGCTCAGTGGCTCTGTCGACCATGGAGAGCGTCCGACGACATCAGCAAGATGTCACAGACTTATATAGGTACTTAGGGTACTTGGCTAAGTACCCTAAGTACTCTAAGTACCCCAAATACCCTAAGTCCAATGGACTTAGCTAAGTCATGTGGGTCGACTTGTCTAAGTTCTGGTACTTGGCTAAGTCCTCTTAAGTCCTCGCTCAAGTTGCTTCCCAAGTACACTGTGAACTTTATACATGACAGTCATATGAGTGATTACTGTAAGGTAAAATCAAAATAACAGTGCTCTCTATCATTGTCAAGTGCAGAACATTTGTGGGTGGGTGCATCCGCCGTTGAAAAAAAACAGCTACCAGGATTTGAACCAGCAGTCTTACAAGCCCAACAATTAAGAGACACCTTAAACCACTGCACCACATTGGCTCATAACATTATAGAGTAAAGCAAACCTATATACCAGCTCTTGCTGGACTTAGAGAAATTCCCCTTCTACCATAGTAGAACTCAGATAGCCACCACTGATAGCATATGTCTAGTGCTACTACACAAATGCTAAACTTGTGTATTACTACTTCAATAGATATATTGCAGTGATTGGAAGTCTTCCACTAGATGTCATTGCCTCTCTTCAAATAGGTTCTATTGCCACTAGTATAGACTTGAAATGGATAACTTTGGAGCGAGCATAGGGACTTCCAGGATATATTATATCACATAATAAGTATTGTAGAATTGTGACAGTGAAAGATGAATTAATCAAGTTGAGCTTTAGCACAATACAGGCACCGTGTGAATTCTAAGTAGTGTTCCAAGTACCCTAAGTACTCTAAGTATATGGACTTGAGTCAAGTACATAAACTTGGCCCTAAGTATATAAACTTAGGCCTAAGTACAGGCCAAGTCCATGACATTTTGCTGATGGATATATGATCATGCCTACGTTCGTGGCCCAGATCATCATCCTGATCCTAACAACAGTCCGACTATTCAAATGTTGATGTATGCCGACGGAAACGGCGTAGGTAAGACGGCTTTCGACGTCAGGCTGGTACGTGTTGTGTCTTGCATACTGAATGGATCAATAGGCGTTTTCATACACAATGAGATGACATTCGATATTCCTTGCTTCAATTGGGCAGCCAGGAGTTGGAGTGGGAGCTGTCACAGCCGACGAGCTGTGCCACCAGACAAACAAGGATAAGCTTACTGGTGATGGGGTTGGTGCTGAGGGGCGAAGCAACTCCAGGTGACACAGCAAGAGATGGTGTAAAGAAGTAGATTCCCTAGACTGGAAGGGGCAGTGAGAGGTAGGGCTGCTAGCTACCTACAGAGGAGATGGGTGATCGATGAGAAGATCAAGTCTGAGGTTCCCTGCCTCAGACCCCCTACTATTTATACAAATACAACGGTGCACAGACCAGGTACCTATTTGTCCCTGCTTGGTCAGAGTCTGCTGACTCACGTCCTGCCTCCTGACCTGTCACATGGTGTCCTCATGACTAATACCTGAGTCATGCTAAGTCCGGGCTTCCTCCGATGAGTAAGCGCCCCTGCTGACGCGTGAGTCACCTGCCGGTGAGTGAGGATGGGCGCTCCCGGACCCCACAAGGTCCTGGGTTCGATCCTGGCTCCTCCACTTTCCGATACAAGTTGTCCGTGGTCCGGATGAGCGTCTGTCCTGGTTCACATGACCCCCAGGTCACGTGGCACGAGAAAACTGTGACAGGAGCATGATGCTGCGCTACAAGCCTGCCGTGGCCAATGCAGTGATAGGGAGATTCGATAGAGCAAACACATCTGGCCTGGTGTGTTGAACCCGGGGGGCGAAGGCCTCTCCCACGGGTGGCAACGACAGCGGATAGCCTGCAACTCACCTAGAAGGGTTGTTGGTTGTAAGAGGCTTGTTAGAGCGATGAGAGGAGATGTTCGAGTGAACTGAACTGTAGATTGGGGGTACAGAGGTCCCCTATATATACTACTGTACATCTGTGGCTACGTAGTACTATACAGTACATTCCCAGGATGCACAGTCGCACAGAGAAGCGGTGCGTACACAGCGAAGCTGTGTGTGTACCACATGAGTAGTACAGCCTCGGTTATTGCAGTAACCGGCTG